GCGCAGGGGAAATTTAACCCATGGGACGTAGTAGTGTAATAGTAGAGTGTAGTCAGAGCAAAGGCAAGCAAAAACTTGAAGTCCTCAGGCCGATCTCAGCCCTCCACACTTCTTCGTGTTTTTTTGAGGAGATGGCGAGCACTTTTCTCCCCAGCAGCCTTTATAGTAATAGTAACATGGTGTAAAATGTAGGCTTAGGTATCATGGGACCTTTAAAAAGAAATATAGCAGTATTCATAAAGAGGAGAAGCCACAGGCTTGAAATACTTCCTTTTTTTTTTAAAGGCATGCTAAGCCTAGTCAGAGGAATTGTTAAGGCAAATGACATCTTTCTAAAAATGGTTGTTACATTGTGTTGGGTACAGTTTTTCAATTAACGTTACATGGTTAATCATTTTGCAATTTCAACCTTTTGTTTCTCAAGTGAAAAAAAATTTTTTAAAAAGTCTATTTGAAATGCTTTTTCTTTTCTGACCAAATAATGAGATTTTTACTTCTAGGAAAAAGAAAGGATTTATAGGGGCCACGATCTGGAACAGTTAAAGTTTATTCCTGGAATCCAAAATAACATGTCTGGATTTCATCCTTTGCCTATTGAAGGGTGTTTTTGTGTGTTCCAGTGCTCAAAGCAGGTTAATAAATACATATTAACAGAATTGGGATAGATATTACTTTATCTTTATAGGTTGTCACTTTTCAACTGTCAAGTCTACCTTAAAATTGTCTATTGCAGTTTGCATATGGCAGGTCCAGGAAGTATTTGTATTTTACTCTCTTGGATCAAAGATAATTCAATGTTAATATGGTAATTAGTAGTTAGAAGATCCTGAATGTTAGAAGTAGACTTCTTTAAATGCTGTCCCAAGGATTGGAGGTTGGTAATTAGTACATGCTTATCTTGGAGGAGTTAAAAACCTCATTAAATCTACGTCTGTGACAAGTAAACCTTCAAGAATGCTTTTCATCAAATGACGCACAATTATATCTTCCATGGAACTGTTAAGGATCGGGGATAGCCATTACAGCCTTAATCTTGAAAAAAATTAAATTTTCTTGTGGTTTTTTGTTTTAAAGTGAATATTTGCTCTTTTATGTAAGTAAACAATATGGTGTATTGCTGAAAGTAAAAGCAGACTTTCGTGTATAACTGTGGTATTGCTTACTTACTGTTAGTAGAACATGAGTTTTAAGTGTTTCCAGGAATGGGGGTGACTGTTACGAACCCTTCAAGATCTCTCTTCAGGTCTTTTTCATGTTCAGACGCATGCATTTGAGTGGTGATCAGTCAGAGTTAGAAACTTGTATTTATAGGTGCTCAGTGTTCTTCTCTTAATTAAACCAAATGACTCTCCTGAGTATCTTGAGGCCCGGATCATATCTTGACTTCTTAATATCCACCTCAGGTTGGTGAATATACATCCTAAATCTTAGCACTAGAAGGGAACTTGAGACCATCTTATCCAGCTTCCTGCCTTCAAACAGATAGTATTATATCTCCCCTATTTTATGGATTAGGATGTGAAACCCAAAGTTGTTAAATGACATGACCAGCAATACGCCAAAGTTTTGGAGAAGCCAGGGTTCTTGCTTTTTAGTGCATAGACTATTCCTTACACCCTTAGAATAATTTAAAATAGACTTTTATCCTAAAAATCAAAATTCTAAAGTATAAGAAATCATGAGATTTTCCTCATTTTTTCTCTTTTTCTGTCTCTTCCTTCTATTCTATATTCTTTTTATTTTTAAACTATTATAGGACTTGATATGATACATCTCTAGTTTACTGACTTTAAGTAAGTGAAGTCTTTTACATGTAGATCCCGTCAGGCTTTTGTTTTCACTCTTCAGCTGGAAATCTAGTTGTAGTTATCTACTTCATTTTTAAGAAAATCAAAGGCATGTAACTCATGGAGGCCTTCCTTTCATCTCTAATTTTTATATTTCTGTTACCTTACTCTAGTCAAGATGCTACCTATATATATTTTGTCAGAATCAGGGGGAAATGATTTCATGGAATAGAGGGGCCTATAATTTCGCCTGCTGCCCCGCCCATCCCGCTCCCCTTTCCCTATAGTTGAGCTTTCCTGAAAGGTCTAAATTATTCCTTAAGTATTTAACTATTATTACTATGTTTTCAGAGAAAGTGTGAGCCAGTCAGACCATTAGAGAGGGCATTTCTACTCTTAGTATGACTGCATTCTGAAAGGTGATGCTGGAATTTCCTATGTGAAGTGGTGAGCAGGAAGGAATTGAACAGAAGGCAGGTTGGTATGGAGGCAGCCCCGGAACTTTTTAAAAATTTAGATAGCATCTTTGAAACATTTTAAATTTCCAGAATACCAGATTATGTTAAATGCATACAAACCCAAAATACAAAGCTTTGTTTCAGTGCCAAGTAGAGTTATATGTACTATTGGTACTTGGATATTATTAAAGTGAGATATATTCTAAAAGTTTTTTTCTCTAAAGGAGATACTTATGAGTTAGATTATTCAAAGTGATTTATTACTTCATTTTGGAAATATAAGACGGATGTTTTGATTTAGTTTCGTAACAGTTTAGGTTCCAAATTAACATTTTTTGTTTCTTTGAAAAAAGTTTAGATTTTTATCTTGCAGGCTTTTTACTCTTATTTTGATAATGGTCTTCATTCTTGGAAATAAGTCTCTTTTTTGGCATCTGGCCAGTACAGGGAACCGAACTCTTGTCTTTGGTGTTACAAGGCTATGCTCTAACCAACTAAGTCTTTATCTCTAAATACCAAAGGGAAGGAAATAATTACCGAGAGTTTTTAGAGACCATTTTTCTTTTTTTATTTTTGGCAGCCGGCTGGTATGGGCATTTTTCATTTTTATAAATTGATATCAGAGTATTAAGAATAACTTGGTTTTTTGGATGCTGTGTAGAAGATGGAGAAGAATATTATTCCAAGCATACATAAATGTCACAACTTTTAGCTTCTTTAATTGCATTTGGTTAAACTTTTGATATTTGATTTAAGAGATACTTTGAAACATGACAAATAAATAACATTTCTTGTTACATATTCTCAAAATTCCCAAAGTTAGCCAACTATGTTAGAGTGATTTTTGATAAGAACATTTGTAATGAGAAGCCAAACATAATATATGAAATTTAACTACATGGTTTTTTTGGCTGTCATTGAAAAATAGTATTTTGCAGTAGGATTGATGTTCAGTGACCATTTATTAAACATAAAGAAAATCATATAGCTAAGAAAAACTATTACTGTTTTGTCAGGGAGAAGTGGAGTTTAATAGAGATCATTGATTTTCATATTAATAGTATACACTCATCAAATATACCAAGAAGTAATCTATTAAGAGCTATTTGATTCAAATATTCAGGATTAATATGTAGATAATGTTCCTTATAATGTGAGATATTTTGGGTCTTATTTTTTTGGTTCTTATTTGGTTAATTTATTTTGATTTGGGTGTAGGGGCTGGGGACATCAAAGCTCTGTATAGTTTAAGAAAATTTCACATTACTGATATACCCTGTACCCCTGATAGCATTCTTTTCTTCCCTTAATTTCATGCTTCTCCTGCAACAATATGGCTCTTACTGATTTTTTTTTCCCCTAAGGAATAATTAATTGTCCTGACAGTTTTTAATTTTAGGTTGGTATTAATTATGTGTAAAGGTTGTTGATTTGATTTAATAATGCGAAATATGGTATTTGTTTTTATTATCTACGGTGGATGGATAGCCTTTTCTCCTTGTCTTTAAGAACCATGTTTCTTAATGTGTGGCCCATATTAGCATTAGGCATTTTTGCTTGACCTCTTGTTAACCATTTTTTTCTAGGTAGTGTTTGCCATTTGAATGGCTTTGTGGAAGCAGACCCCTCAATAGCTTAGCTGTAATTTTCTAAGTTACATCTTTACCTGCTTTGTTCTTTTATTCTGATCTAACTAATGCTTTTTTGTTAATTTTGCTTCCATTATCAGTGCTTCCAATTTCTTTTTTTTTTTTATGTGCTTTAAAATGATTAAATATGGATACCTGGTGTTTATTTTGTTATTTATATATAATTACTTCAGTGGTAATGAATTTTGAGACACTGAATTGTGTCTTGATATTTTTATAACCTGGTGGTTAAATACATCTTTATAAGGTATTTTTGGAAATACATTTGTATACACTTGCTTGTATTTCTAAGATCACCTCATAAAGGTATACGTAACCACCATCTTATAAAAATCAATTTAATATCCAATTTTAAAAGTTTCAAAATAACATATTTTACATGTTAGTATATAGTATATATAGTACGTAGTATACGTAGTAACATATTTTACTTGTAGTATATATAGTAAAGCATTTCTAATGTTTCTGTCAGAAAAGGTACATTCCTTGCATTCTTGCATTCTTGTCTTATCATTGTAGTCTGCTTAATCTTTCTCACTGCTTGCCAGTATTGAATTATGAGAATTAACAGGTGGTAGTATTGATGGGATCACGTATTTTCTCTTGTTGATTATTAAGCCTTATGGTTGTCCTTCTGTTCCATGCTGTAATCTTAAAAGAAGTTATGTGCTTCTGTTTTTTGCTCCATAGCTTCTTTTGCTTTCCCATTAGTGTACTTTCCTTTATTCTGGTTCTTTAGTTTTAAATTTTATTGTATGCTATCAGTGATGCTAATTTTAATTCGAATATCATCCCAATATTATAGTTATTTTACGGATGAAGAAAATATTCTAAAGGCCTTGTTATGTTTTATAAGGTATATTGTTTTACTCATTAGTAAACTGTAAACTTTGGAATGTTAAGCTCAAAAGAGTGGCTAATTTATAAGGAAATTTCAGCTTTTGAAACAAAAATTTTTTTTTAAAAAAGGAGATTAGATCAGTCTGTGAATGAGGCAAAACTTTACAGAGTTCTTCAGGCAAAAACAGGACTTAGAGGCACCATCAGTATTCCTCCTTTTGTATTCACTTGCACTTTTCCTAGAAGTCCTTTGCTTTCTTTGCTAGGTGTGGAGGGTGCAGCTTTCCAGAGCCGGCTTCCTCATGATCGGATGACTTCTCAAGAAGCAGCATGTTTTCCAGATATTATCAGTGGACCACAGCAAACCCAGAAGGTTTTTCTGTTCATTAGAAACCGCACAGTAAGTTTCCATGTCAGCGTTTTTTCACCTGGATTCTAAAAAGTGCATATGACTTTTATAGAGAAAGTGGGAAAAAATAGGGAGGAAAATTTTTATAATTGTCTATAATACCACATTACCCAGAGACAACCATTGTTAAAAATTAGCTGTTTTCCTTTGGGTATTTTTTTTTTAATGTATATGTAATTTTTATTTTTACAAAATTGAGATCCTGCTTGCATGCATTCTGTGACACCTTTTTCATAACTCATAAATACACATTAAAAATCTTTATTTAAACATATAAAAAAAAAAATTTTCCCCCCCTCTCAGGATAAGAACAATGCTTACCCTGTTCCACTCATCTGGTTCAACCTTCTCCTCTGGCTGAATGATTGACTTTAATGTTTGCATAATATTTCATCTGACAGTTGGGTCATAGTTTAACTGTTGGATATATAAATTTCCATTTTTGCCGTACTATAATTAAGTTCTCTGAACAGTCTTTTCTTTACTATCTGTGGTTATTATTTCCTTATGATAGAGTTCTAGAAGGAAAACTACCTTGTCAAAGGGTATGAACAATTTTTAAGTTTTAATACATATTGACATATTGCCTCCTACAAAGGATGAATCAGTCAACACCCCCATTGCCCTGCCCATTTTTGTTATTTAAACAATGACAATCTGTGCTCCTATAATAGGCCAAAACCATTTCTTTTCCATTTATTGGATTACAGAGACTTACTGCTTTTTCATATTTATTAGTCATTTGTATTTCTTCTGTGAATTTTTCTTTCATGTCCTTTATTCATCAGATTGTTTAGCCATAGAGTAGAGGGCAGGGTGCTATTCAGAACATACTCATCGTACTCTAGGATGATAAAAGTAGAAGAAATTTAAGTTGCAATTTCACCTATTTTGAATATAGCTCAGAAATGACATCAGCATATCTGCCTTTTAACTACCTCTAATTTATTATTTTGGCTGTTAGATTGCAAAACCACTGCTAATTTGGATTGTTAAATGTCATTTAGCTAGTGATTGTTAGGTAATACTGGGTTTTTGTAATACAGAAAAGACAGGGTGTTTTGTTAGAGCCAAAGGAAAATTCTTAGTGTGTATTTCTGAGGATGATTTATCTTAAATTGAATCAGCTCCTATGTGTAGTATTTCAATATTTGATCTAAGTGGATTTTTTAGACAAAATGGTCTTTTTTTGTTTTATCTGAAGGGAGTTTTTATTTACTTGAGTTTGAGTGGTTGATTTATAGTGATCTCTTCCTCTGCCATTCATTTCCTGTGACCAAAAGTCCAGATTTGGGGAAGGGTTGGCCCAGGTTAGAGTTGTGGTCTCTGGCTATGAAACAGATCATAAATCATTCTCTGCTGCAAGAATTGTATCAATTCTCTACTCTTTTTTTTTTTTTTTTTTTCCTTTTTGAGACCGGCCGCACCACTCTCAGCCAGTGAGCGCTGTGAGTGCACCGGCCATCCCCATATAGGATACGAACCCGCGGCGGGAGCACTGCTGTGCTCCCAGTGCCGCACTCTCCCGAGTGCGCCACGGGCCCGGCCCTCAATTCTCTACTCTTTTTTT